TATTTGTTACCTTTCCACAATTTTTCTTGTGGCTGATTTCGAGTTTCATAGCGTTGTGGTCTGAAAATATGCACGTTATGATCTCGATCTTTTTGTATTTACTTAGGGCTTTGTGTCCTAGTATATGGTCTATTCTGGAGAATGGTCCATGTGCCCTGGACACCCATCCTCTGTGTTCAGCTATCGTCCACTCCCTGCTTTTTCACTCTCCGTGACCAGGCCCCAGGCAGTACTTCTCTAACGAGTTTTGTCTCAGATGTGGCTGTTTTTCCTGGCCCCTTATTTCCGAAGGACTGCGGCTTTGACCCATTCCACCCCTCTGTGGGAGGGTCTCACCGAGCAATGGCCGAATGAGCAATGGCGGAATGTCGGCTGCATCCAGGAACGCTTGCTGGACCCTGCTGCTGCCGGTGCCTGGAGACTGCAGCCAGGTGCCAGCCCGCCCCAGAAAAAGCTTGTGAGACAGTGTAGCAGCAGCATTTCAGGGATTATGGAAAATCACAGCACACATCTGGTACCTGGCTTCACCCTTGCCAACCTTGCCCGAGCACCAGCAAATGTGGCCGTCTTCTGGGGTCTGCTGGGACCAGGTGGCTTCAACAGTCTTTATCAAATGTCCTTCCAGCAGTGGAACCACTTTTCCCCGTGTGGCTCAAGAACCTCCCGGACCCCACTCTGCTCCTGGGGATTTGCCCTTCCCACCGCCAGGTATCGAGCTGCGGGGTTGCAGCCTTTGTGCTCCCCTTGTTTACAGTCTTAATGGAATTTAAACCCTCCCCTTTCTCCTTTATCCCTTTTTGGTTTAGTCCCTGTGGCTATTTCCAATTTTCCACTTTGTCTCCAGCTGCTTTTGGGGAGGGGTGCTTTCCCGTATTCTCCACCCTGCTCCCCAGTCTCAGTCGTCTCTCCGCCCACAAAAGTGGTTCCCTACCCTCCGCTGCTTCTTGCTCTCCAAATTTACCATTCCGCGCCGCATACCTGCTGAATTCTGTGGCTCAGGTTGTGCAGATTGTTGTGTTAATCCTCCAATCAGTTTTCTAGGTGTGTAGGATGGTTTAGTGTTGGTCTGGCTGTATTTCATGGACGTGAGACACACAAAAAATTTCCATGCTGTTCCACCATCTTGGCTCCTCCTCTTTCTATACCACATCTTCTTTACCCATTTATCCATCGATGAACATTTGGGCTCTTTCCATACTTTGG